TAGATGATCCTGTTTGTAAAGAATTTTATGGCACTGTACATTTTGAAGCGTAGGTTATTAACGTATACGAGTTTTGTTTGTTTTAAAGTGCATATAAGCACGGCTCTATGGACAAAGTTTTTGATTATTGCTTCCGTTGGGCCCCTCTACTCTGTTGACTATGTCTATTTTGGTTTGAGGTCGTAGGTAATCCCAGGATTACTGGCCGGTTACGTCCTTAACCCATGGGGACGGGTTCGGATCGTGACATCATGTGTCGGGTAGTTCTTCTCATGTGGTCTCAATTGTCGAGAGGCATAAGCAATTACCCGTCCATCCTGCATTAACACACGCCCCAGACCCTTGTAAGACGCATAACTGAAAATCACAAAGTTTTGCATACCTGCAGGCAACGTCAACACTGGTGCAGTGGTTAGTCTCGTTTTCAGTTCATCAAAAGCAAATTCTCTTTCGTCATTCCATTCAAATGGTTGCCCCTTGCGTGTTAGCTGGCTATAGCTCGGCTTTTCGCGCCCCCTTTCGGAAGGATGAATAGCCCTTACAGTTCAGACTCCACTTGTATTGGTTCTGAATCTGATTTCACAAGTGCAATGTGAAATAGTGGAAACACAAAAAGAGTCCAAATCTGGCAATTATTTTCGTCGCAAAAAAGTCAAGAAATTTCAAACGTTATTAGCGATTGCACGGTGCCGTCGCAAAAAGGCAAAAAATGCCGTCGCAAAACATTAGCGACGGCATTTACCGTCGCAAAAACTCTTTTGCAACCCCTGCAGTTGCGACCCCCCTCTTGCCGTCGCAAAAAGTCATTTTGCCGTCGCAAAAAGTATTAGCGACGGCATTAGGAGTATTAGCGACGATATTTTACCGTCGCAAAAAGTTATTTTTTTTGTAGTGTACTGCAAAAAGTCATTTTCGGCATTTATTGCATATAATTATCTCATATGAAAGACGCATAGATACTTACACCAAATTTAAATCATAATTTGATCCAAACTTACTAAAGACAAAATGATTAGGAATCAGTAATTCACGATCGAATCTTGTCACCAAATATCGGCTTAAAAAACTCAAATTCATGTCGTCTAAATGGCCATACATAAAAATAAACTCTTAACCATTAGGTTACTATCCTCAGCAACAATAATGTTATATGTACGAAAGATCTATACATATAATACATAGAAACTCTAATATGAATATAAGATTTATGTAGAATTTTTTATTTGAGAGCATCTGTATATTCGGTGCACATATTTTCTATATAAATAGTATAGCATTTTTCCCCTCGGCAAGAATAAGAACCTATGAGCCTTGAGCCATTCCACATAGTTTTTTCTCTTGATATTCGTACACACATTTATTGTACCATAGAAAAAATTATTAAATAGTTTTCAAGTAACTCCCAACAACGTGTAGAAGTGACTGGATCTACGAACACATTATAGATTGGTTAGCACTTGGATAAGCCCATCAAAAAATCATTTGATATGATGGTGCTGTTTGGTGTAGTTGTTAAAACAGACTATAGATTATAACTTAACAGATTATAGATTATGACTTTAATTAGAAACTGTTAATTTGTTTGGTATAACTGTTGGATTATAGATTTAAGTTGCTGTGTAGTGTTTGTTAAATAAGCTGTGAAGTAACTTTTTTAATTAATTTTTATTTTTTATTATTCACTATTTGTCTACATTTTTCATAAAAAATAATAATAATATTTTATAGGCCATTTGGGTCTTTTTCTATTTTTTAAAAAATAAAAAATAAAAAAATCTAAGAGTATAACCGTGAATTAACATGTCCACAGCAGAAGCTGATAATCAGAAGCAAGGGGTGAGTAGCTTCTCAGAATCAGCTTTTTTGACTTAAAATAAGTTGTTAGAATCAGAAGCTGTTTGAAATAAATTTAACTAAACAGTCCAAAATAATTTTTTAAAAGCCAGCTGGCTCAAAAAAGCCCCACCAAACACCCTCGATGTTTTGGACATCCAAACATGACTGAGCGGCCCGTTTTAAAAAGCCCAACCCATTTAGATCCGTCCATTTTAACAGGACTTATATGCACTTCAGTTTGGTATCATTGTAAGTTTTCGTTTTATATTTATCCCTTTTGTGTTCTTAAAAATAGAAGAATACAAAATTTGAAAAGACTCTTTGTTTTTATTTTTTTTGTGCAAAATCAATTTTCAAAAAATTGGAAAACAACTTAAAGTATTTTCCAAAAATGAGTGTTTTCGAGAAAAAATTCAAAAAATAGTTTGTCAAACAAATTTGAATAAGTGCTAATTTTTAATTTATTTTTGTAAGAAAAGAAAACGAATTCATGAACCTAGAGAATAATCAATAATTAGTTTTTTAAAAAGGTGTTTTGAGTTTTTCCATTTCACATATCAAGTAATTATCAAGCCAAATGGGTGGGGCGGCTCTAAAGAAGGGATCTGGATCCGCTAGATTAAAATTTGGAAAGTGATCGTTTGAAGTGTTGATCTACTGGCTGATAACAAATGAGTAAAAAATGATGTTTTTCTTTATAATTTTTTTTCCCATGAAAAATGAAGATAGATTGTGAAGGGTGTTGCTCTAAAGAAGGGTGTGCAATGAATTTTGTATTGCATCTAAGATTGTGAGTTTTGAAATTTTTTTATTATTTTTTTCACCACTAATCAGTTGTTTTTCCACATTATTTTTAAACAATTTTATTTTAGTTAAGGTTTGTTTAGAAAGTGACTTTTTTAATGACTTTTAAATTTTTTATAAAAACAAAGATAATGAATTGTTTATTAATTTATTAACTAAAATATATTCTTTCCAAACAAGCTTTTAGTTTTAAAATTTTCTCTGTTAGCATGCCCGACCCTGTGATAGGCCGAAAAGGCAACTCCCTTCGGGCCGAAATTTTGAATGAAAAATAGGCCCTCCAAAATATTTAAACCCTCAGAATGTTAGTACTTAAAAAAAAAAAAAAAAAAAAAAAAACCAGTCTAATCTGTTAAGGCCCAATCTGCCTTTTCAAAAATTGAAGGGCCCAAAAAATTTGGAATCATATTCAGTTTTATAAAATTTTGGGTCCAAATTTTCTTCCCCATAATGAAATGTTACAAAAAATGATACAAAATTTTATATCAAATACTCATATGGGTGTAGTGTTTCGTATAAAATTTTGTATGACATTGGAATCTATAATATTTTTGTTACTATGAAAACTTGAAGTGCCAAAGCATCAACATTTTTGTTCTGGAAAATTACAAATCAATCAGTGTGTTTGGTTTCAGTTTTCTTAATTTAGTTTTATGAAAATTGATTTTTTTTTTTTGTGTGTTTATTGAATATTTTTAACATTTTAAGCTATATTTTTTTTATTATTTTAGATGTACTTTACTTAGATGTATCTAAATAGCAAAATATTTGTGAAAAAATATTTTAAAAAATTAATAAATACATCAAAATATAAAAAATGTACTGAATTTTCATATATATATTTTTTATATTTTTGGTATTTAGTGAATTTTTTAAAGATTTTTTTCACAAATATTATGTTTTTTAAGTATATTTATATTAGGTGTGTCTAAAAATAAAAATAAAAAAATTGCTTAAAATATTAAAAAAAATTATTGAAAACAAAAAAATACGAAAAATAAAAAAGTAAATTTTTTTAAAAAGTGTTTTTTTGGAAATCAAAACCAAACAAGCTAAATGGTACTCTTGCTAATTGTGTCTCACCCACAGCTCCCATAATAGTTTAAAGGGAACTTTTTTGATAAATTCCTTTCCTGAGAGTTTTATACCATAAAACCCAAACCTTTTTTACACACCATCATAAAAATTCAAACATTTTTTTTCACTATTTCACTGATTTATAATTTTCTCCATTTTAATTAGACATTATGAAGGATAACGTAGACTAGTGTCCTTAATATATATATATATTTATTATATCAATTTTATATTTTAAAATTTAATTTTGTTAATTTCATCTTTAAAATTTTCAATTCGAGTTAAATAATTATGAATTAAAACTATGGTCTCTAAATATATATATTGTGTCATTATAGTCTTTAAAATTTTAATTTTATCAATTTTATTTTATTAATATTCTGTCACCAAACTTAAAAAACTAAATGTTAGGGACAAAATGAACGAAAAAAAAAAATTATGCGTGTATTTTATTATAATTCCGTTAATTATTTAGATGATTTGTTTAAAATTAAGTCGAATTGATTCAAAATAGAATTTTCAAAGACAAAATTGATAAAATTAAAACTTAAAATGCCAAATTAAAATGTAACTCATAATTTAAAGATCATAAATATAATTTATTTTTATAGCAACTAAGTTGTTTTTATTTTTTATTTTGTTAAAGTTAAAAAAAAAAACCATCAAATAGCTTCACAAAATAAAGATAAAGAAACACAGGATCAAAGTCTAATTAAGGAGTTATTTGGAATGATTTAAATAAATATATTTTTAATTTTTTATGAAAAATTTGCAAAAAACATAGAAATGTAATGTGATTAAAAAAAATAAAAAAATAAAAAGTGTACTATGGTAAATTATGTCAAACAAAGCTAAAAATTAAGGAACTTAGGTCTAGTTTAGAAACAAACTATTTCATAAAAAAAAATATATACAAAAAATAAAAAAAATAATTTTTTAATTTTTTAATTAAAATTTTTAATCCGATTTGGATTCTACAAATATATAAAAAATAAAGAAAATAATTTAATAATTTATGGTGATTTTTTTATTTTTTAATTAAAATTTTTTGTCCCGAAAGGCGATTTGGATTTCACCCATACATGCAGGATTAAAGTCTAATTAAATGAAAAATAAGGGACTTAATTGCAAAGACGATTTGATTCACCTACATATGACGTCTGGTGTCACTCGGCCACGCCCACATCACACGCACCCTCTCTCCCTCTCTCTCTCTGCTCTCATTCGAAAAGTGCTCTCTCTCTCTCTCTCTGCTCGTTGATCTGTAGGCTCTGAGCTGACAATGTCGTATAAGGGTAAAGGTATCGCCGTAGATGACTCATCGGGGAAGAGAAAGCGGGACGACGGTGGCGGCAAGAACAGCCGTCGAGGGAAGAGGAAGAACCGCGGTGTTGTTCAGTTCTTCGATGACGCCGCATACGAGGTCGATGAGGGCGACGATGCCAGCGACGAAAGCGATTTCGAAGATGGTAAAGCTAAAACCTAATTTCTCACTCTGTGAGTGTGTGTGTTTTCTGTAGATTTTCTGCCCGTGATACTAGGGTTTTAAAATCTGTCTACTAGGGTTTTTTTGTGTGGGTTTGATGGAAATGTATGGTGGGTTTTTGTTTGTATGAGTGTGTTATTGGTTTAAAGTTGAATCTCTGTGTGTTGCCAGTTATAGCATGAATTTGGGGTTTTTTGTTTTAGTGGATTTACTGTAGATGTAACGGTAATGAGGATCAATTTGTTTCGAGTAGGGTTTATTATGAGGCGTGTGTGAATTAGGAGAGAAATGTTGATTGGGTTTGTTTTGTTTTTGGTGATTTCATTTTCTTTATTTTGGCGTTGTTGGTTTAAGGTGTTAAACTGTATTTTGATTGTTATTGCTTTTTCTTGAAGTTGTGCTCCTTTTTAGTAATTGTTTTTGGGAAGGGGGTTCACTTGTCAAGATTAACTAGCTCATGGAATGTTAGCCTTGATGAAAATTGTTGAAATTTTAGTGGCATTTTGTGGAGCAGGGCTTCTCAGCTGTTTGTGTTTTTATGTATCCTAATTAATTGTTTCTGATCATTCTTTGAGTTTATGTATAATATATTTATAGAAATTATAAAATTATTATTTTTTTAATGAATCCTAGTTGTATTGTATCTTGTTTTTAAGGTTTGGTTGTGTTATCGTATCTATACCTCCATCACTACTTCATAGGTGATAAGTCATTTAAGAAGCAATGCTTATATATATATGTGCACATATCTGTATTTTATGAGTGGATGCATGCACTCACAATGTCTATATGCATTTTTTTGTGTAGATTCCCGTGGGAGAGTGATTAGTATTTATGCAGTACAATAAAGTGGTTGTTAAAATTGAATGTTCAATTTTGGTTTTGTATGAAGAATTATTTTATTTTCTCTCTCTTTCTCTAATATGAAAAAAGCAGAAAAGTATTTATGATTTGTTTGGCATTTGAGCTATGTGATCTGTTTTGTACTTTCTTCTTATGCCTGTAAATATGCTTTTAGTCTTGTTGGTTTGGACAATGCGGTGATGGAATTATACTTGCTTGTCTATGCTTATTTGCATTTTTATTGAGACTGACCACTTCACTAGTAAAAAAAGGCTTACGACTCTGTTCTTTTCTTCTCTGAAAACAGACTTCCTGGAAGACGAATTTAAAACACAGCTTAAAGTAAAAAGTGAACCTGCAAAAACCCATAATTTTCCAGTTATGCCCAAAGAGGAGGAGCTTAGTGAGGAAGAACTGGAAAAACTGCTGATTCTGGATGAGCGTTACAAACCAGGCTCCAGTTTTGTGACATATGCAGAAGATCTATACGATTCTAAAAGAATGACTGAAGGAAATGTAGTCATACCTTCTTCCAGGGATCCAACCATCTGGAAAGTCAAATGCATGGTATAGTTTTCTAGAATTCTATTGCTTATGTTTCAAACAGCTTCTTTGATCTTCTTTGTTTCTTTCTCATTTTTTGTATTTCTGAGCAACTTATTCCGTGTAGGTTGGACGGGAGAGGCATTCTGCCTTTTGTCTGATGCAGAAGTATGTGGACTTACATGCCCTTGGAACTAAGCTGCAGATAATTTCTGCATTTGCGCTTGAACATGTGAAGGGTTTTATTTATATTGAAGCCGAAAGGCAATTTGATGTTAATGAGGTATTCTTCTGCTTTTGGGGTTTTGGTTATGGAAAAAGTGATTTTCTTACTTCTTCTTGTTATTTCAGTACTATTGCTTCTATTGGTGGTGTCACAGTAGTTAAGCTAATGAGCAAACACTTGATTATTTAATATAGGCATGTAAAGGGATTTGCACTGTATATTCTAGCCGAGTGGCACCTGTCACAAAGAATGAAGTTTCTCATTTGCTCACTGTGCGAAGCAAACACAATGAAGTTTCAGTTGGCACATGGGCCCGTGTGAAGAATGGGAAATATAAGGGGGACCTAGCACAGGTATTATGAATTTGTCTATTGAACAGAGATATTGACAAGTTTGTTTTACTTTTTCTCTCGTGTCTATTTTATTTGAAGGGCTAACTGTTCTCTAGCTGGTGTTGATATTCACTAACTGTTTCAATCATGTTTTTGCAGGTTATAGCTGTGAATGATGCACGGAAAAAAGCTACTGTCAAGTTGATCCCTAGAGTTGATCTACAAGCAATGGCTGAAAAATATGTAATGCAGATAGTTTCTTATCTTAGATAATATTTTCTGGCAAATGCATTTTCTTTTACTTTTTCTGTTGGCAGGAATTTCATAAGTAATAAATTGTTTTTCTCTTTTAAGAAAAAAAAAAAAAACTAGCTTATTTCAACCAACAAAATTGTAGAAGAAACTTGCCTCATTTGGTGAAACTTCATTTGTGGCTCTTTATTTTCTTATTGTTATTTAAAGATTGAAGATATTATTGAGTGGATCATACTGATACTCTATATTGGTCACTTTTTTGCACGACTTGCTTAATTTTTTTATTTTTGGAGGAGCTTTTTTTTGATTGAATTTGTTTAAATTGGTTTATTTTAATTTTCTATCTTCTTTCTTTGTGTGATACCTGAAGTAGATAACAAATTCAATAGAGGTGGTACAGTGCCATAAATTTGATAGAGGTGATAGCTGAAGTTTTTTGATGGTCTTTTCTGTTTCATCTTATTATGACAACAGGAATCTATTCGAAAAGACTGTGCCAAGAGCTCCTAATGTTCTTTTTGTTGTCTCTGCATTTTATAGGCTACAACCTTTTTATTTTGTCAGATTTTTGAGACATGTTTCATTCATGTGTACAGGGTGGAGGAATTGCTGCCAAGAAGACTGCAGCTACTCCTGCACCAAGATTGATTAGCTCTACTGAACTTGAGTAATATGCACACGCACATTTTTAAGAGTGAGTTTGGAATGTTACATTACAGCTTGTGTTATAGTTGTTTACATGACCTTTGTGTAGGGAGTTCCGGCCTCTCATTCAATATAGGCGTGACCGTGATACTGGCCAAGCTTTTGATGTCCTTGATGGGATGATGCTCAAAGATGGTTATTTATACAAAAAAGTATCAATTGAATCATTATGCTTCGGTGGTGTAATGCCTACTGAAGACGAGCTCCTTAAGTTTGAGCCTTCTAAGAAAGAGGAATCTGATTGTCAAGAGTGGCTTACTCAGCTTTTTGGTGAGCCAAAGAAAAAACTCGTCATAAAGAGTGACAAAGGTGGTGGGAAAGGAGAGGGTTCATCAAGCTCTAACATGCCAAGTGGTTTTGAAGTGCATGATCTTGTGTTTTTTGGGTAAGTTCATGATTTAATTGTTGTGTCAGAGATCTTTTACCAACCGGGCATATTAATTTGTTTTGTACTTTTATTTTATTTTTAATTTTTTTCCTTCCCATTGCAGTCGGAAGGATTTTGGCGTTGTTGTAGGCACTGAAAAAGAAGATTATTTCAAGGTATATAAATTAATTTGTGTGCTTCTTCCCTCTGTGGTTGGCCTCTTACATGTTATGATTTGTTCCAGATTTTAAAACATGGTTCAGACGGACAAATGTTGGTGACGGTTGAACTGCATCGCTTAAAGAATGGGTCCTTTGATAAGAAATTGACTGCATTAGACCATGGCACTAAGACAATATCAATTAATGATACTGTCATGGTTTTGGAAGGTCCATTTCAGGTTTGAAGCTATTTTTGGATCAGTTGTTTGAAGTCTCTATCAATGTAGTTTACGGAAAATGATTTGCATATAACTATACTTTGTCATGTATTGCAGGGTCGGCAAGGAATTGTTAAGCAAATTTATAGAGGAATTGTCTTTTTATATGACGAAAATGAACAGGAAAATAGTGGTTATATCTGCTGTAAGGCACAGTTTTGTGAGAAAATTAAACTTTCTGATGATGCATGTAAAGGAAAGGTTGTTCGTCTCTTTACTCGAATGTAGACATAGGGTTGTTTTATTGCTTTTCCCTATTTTTTTTTCCTTTTCTTTTTAATGTAATTTTTTATTTTGATCAGGGAGGTGAATCAGGGGCCTCAGGCTTTGAAGATTTTCCTTCATCTCCTAAATCTCCTCTATCACCTAAAAAAGCTTGGCAATCTAGGGAAAATGGCAACAACTGTATGTTCAGAAGTTTTGTTCTCTTGATATATACAACTGCCATTTTAAGATACTAATGTCCTTTGTCCCTATATGGACATATTCTTATGATTGCAGTCAACCAAGGGGATAAAGATGGAATGTTTTCTGTTGGTCAATCATTGAGAATCAGAGTGGGTCCTCTGAAGGGATACCTGTGCCGTGTCTTGGCTGTGCGTCGTTCTGATATCACCGTAAAGCTTGATTCTCAGCAGAAAATTCTTACAGGTTTGGTTATGAATGCCTGTGTTTGCTTCTTTTATGCTGGTAGGGTCAATCTTTGTTGTAATTTCTCTCATGTGTTTGTTTCGACAGTTAAATCTGAGCATCTTGCTGAGGTCCGTGGGAAGAGTTCTGCCATTTCCTTGGGGTATAGTTTTGAAAAACTTTGAAGAGTCTGAACAATTTTTAATTTAAAAGTTTGTGACAATATCTTGATACCGTTTTGATGTACTGTTGCTTCTTTTGAAGTGATGATGCGGAGCCTGGAAAGCCATTTGACCTGCTTGGAACTCAAGACGGCTCCACAGGTAGGAATGTATGCTTTACTTTATGTGATATTGTATCCCTTTACCAAAACTTTGTAAGGGTGTCAGTGAATATATTCTTTGTGGAGTGTGCTTTGAATGTTCTGCATATAACTATCTTACTCTCTATCTCGTGGGGTGCTATATGTTTTGATAATATATGGTCATATATTTTGAAGATTGGATGGCCGGAGCAGGAACATCAACAGAGGGGGGTGATAGATGGGGTGCTGGAGGGCTGTCTACTGAAAGGTCAAAAATAATTTTCTTGTCCATTTTATATATTTTTGTGCACATCCTCATCTTGCCTTATCTTGTGAAGGTTTATACGTGCTAAATCATGTCACGGTTAAAATTTTCAGAGTGGACTTTCTTTTGTTTGTATCTGTATGAAAATGCACATGGCAGATCATATTAGCTTCTGACCATGAACTTGCTAACTGTATGTGGGTGGGTGGGCTCATTTTGTAGTGCATGTATAATTTTATTATGCAGAACCTTAGGCACATGATCTAACAATAGTCCAGTCACATTTGGAACTTATTATGACAAGACTTTTTTTATTGTGTGCTCTATTTCATAATTTCTGAGTAGAATAGTCTTAAATTCTTAATTGATGGTTTGAACAGATTGCTCAGTGTGCTATTTTTTTTTTTCCAGCTTTTTAAAATGTGCATTGTTTATAGTTTGACTGCCTTGGAACATTGATGTAGATGTGATAATCACTCTGAAAATTAGAGAAGTGGCAATCTTGAAGAGCGAAAATAAATTACATATTTGCAAAGATACAAAATTAGAGGGGACTGTAATTGTTTTCTCTTTGGTTAAGGAGTTGTCACGTGTATCTTGGTATAATTTTCTATTACTTTTTTGAACTAAAATTATATAATTTAAGAAGTTTATATATATATATATATATTTGTCTAATTTGGACTTTTTGACTACTTTGGAATCTATTACATGAATTGTAGATTGCGTTTCAACTGATGGTAGTCGTATTCGTCTTTTTTGTATTTATTTTCATATTCTATTATCTGTGGGTGTATATATATACATATATATAGTGCACTCTTATTCAATTTTGGTTAACTTTGATTCTGGTGGCACATAAATTCAGGAGTTCTTGGCCTGCTTTCCAATCTTCTGGCTTCTCGGTTAGTTTAGAACTCGCTTTAAATTTATTCTGTTCCTGCCTTTTTCTCCCCCTTTTCTATCCTCACCCAAATTTTTTTTTGACGAGTCTTTGGTTTACAGCTTCAGCCAGAATCCAGTTTTGCGAATGGTCTTAGTACTGCTGATAATGATACCAATAAAGGTATAGTCATCAACTATGTCTCTGAAAAAGCATTATTCACTTTTATAATAATTTTTTTGAACACGTCTACGATATAACTACTAGTTATTTTACTGCATAATCTTCTTGTTTTATGATGTGAAGCGGGAGATAATGCTTGGGAGATTAAAGCAACTTCAAATCAGAATTCTTCTTGGGGTAGTGCTGTACCTGATGAAAAAGCTAGTGAACAAGTTGGAGGCTGGGGAAAACTCAAAATCGGAACTTCTGATTCTGCAAACGATGCTGGGTCCTCTTGGGGGAAGAAAAATGATGCAACTAATGATAGTTCTGCTTGGGGCAAAGCTGTTGGTTCCTCAGATAAAGGCACTGGGGGATGGGGTAGTGCAGGTGGAAACTCAGTTGAAACCGAAGCTGAATCAAGTGGCTGGGGGAAAATGAAAAATGATGGTGGTGCAAAAGGTTGGGGAAGTGCTAGTAAAGGAACTGAAGAAGATTCTTGGGGCAAAACTGTGGAGAAGTCCAGCAGTAAAGATGATTCTAGTGGAAGCAAGGCAGCTTGGAACAGTTCTACCTCTGCACCAGAGAGTCAAACTGGGGGTTGGGGTAATAAACAAACAGGCGGATCTTCTTGGAGTAGCCAAGCTGGCGGATCTTCTTGGGGTAAGCAAAATGATGTGAATATGGAAGATGCGTCCAAGGAAACTGGTCAAAATGACAGCTGGGGTAAGCCTTCTGGCGGTTGGAAAAAAGATGATACATTTGATGGAGGACGTGGTTCGGGTGGTGGAAGGGGAAGAGGAGGCGGCGGAGGAGCTTGCTACAAGTGTGGGGAAACGGGACATATGGCGAGGGAATGTAGTCAGGGCGGCGGTGGTGGAGGTGGAGGTGGGAATGCTTGTTACAAATGTGGGGAAATGGGACATATGGCCAGGGAATGCAGTCAGGGCGGTGGTGGTGGAGGGAGGATGGGTGGCAATGCTTGCTACAAGTGTGGGGAAACGGGACATATGGCTAGGGAATGCCCTCAGGGTGGTGGTGGCGGAGGTGGCAGCGGTGGGAATGCTTGCTTCAAGTGTGGGGAAACAGGACATATGGCCAGGGAATGCCCTCAGGGTGGTGGGAATGCTTGTTTCAAGTGTGGGGAATCGGGACATATGGCGAGAGACTGCTCTCAGGGTGGTGGTGGTGGTGGTGGGAGGTATGGTGGCAGTGGTGGGGGTAATGCTTGCTTCAAGTGTGGGGAAACGGGGCATATGGCCAGGGACTGCTCTCAGGTTGGCAGCGGTGGAGGCAAGGTATCTTGGAGTGGTTCGTTGGCTGAATCTAAGAATCAAACTGGGGGATGGAGTAGTGGTTCCGGAGGATGGGGAAGTGGTTCTATGGATGAACCCAAGAGGCAAACTGGGGGATGGGGCAGTGGTTCTACAGCTGAACCCAAGAGTCAAACCGGAGGATGGGGTAGTGGTTCTACCTCTGAACCCAAGAATCAAACCGGAGGATGGGGTAGTGGTTCAACGGATGAACCTAAGAGTCAAACCGGTGGATGGGGCAACAGTTCTACCTCTGAAGCCAAGAATCAAATTGGAGGATGGAGTAGTGGTTCTACGGCTGAACCCAAAAATCAAACCGGAGGATGGGGTAATGGTTCTAGCTCTGAACTGAAGAATCAAACTGGAGGATGGAGTAGTGGTTCTTTAATAAGACAAAATGTCACATCTAAATTGTAATTATTTTATTTTTTTCTCTTACAACTATCATATTCAAACAAAAAAGAATCAAAAAAATTTTTCCAACCCAAGAATCAAACTGGTGGCGGATGGGGTAGTGGTTCTACAGCTGAGCCCAAGAATCAAACAGGAGGATGGGGTGGTGGTTCTAAGGCTGAACCCAAGAAGAATCAAACGGGAGGATGGGGTGGTGGCTCTACAGATGAACCCAAGAATCAAACAGGAGGATGGGGTAGTGGGTCTACGGATGCAGCCAAGAATCAAACTGGAGGATGGGTTAGTGGTTCGACGGCTGAACCCAAGAGTCAAGGAGCCGCAGAATCTTCTTGGGCAAAAACTGCTGGAGAATCTACATGGAATAAGAAGGATGGTGGATCTTCTTGGAATAAACAAGGTGGTGGATCTTCTTGGAGTAACCAAGCAGGTGGATCTTCTTGGAGTAAGCAAAATGATGTGAATATGGAAGATGTGTCCAAGGGAAGCACAGGTCAAAGTGATAGCTGGAGTAAGCCATCTGGTGGTTGGAAGAAAGATGACTCAAATCAACAAGAAAGCTGGGCTACTAAATCATTTGACGGAGGGCGTGGTTCAGGTGGGGGCAGGGGAAGAGGAGGTGGTAGGAATGCTTGCTACAAGTGTGGGGAAACGGGACATATGGCCAGGGAATGCCCTCAGGGTGGTGGAGGAGGAGGTGGAGGTGGGAATGCTTGCTTCAAGTGTGGGGAAACAGGACACATGGCTAGGGAATGCCCTCAGGGTGGTGGTGGAGGAGGTAGGTATGGTGGCAGCAGTGGTGGGAATGCTTGCTTTAAGTGTGGTGAAACAGGACACATGGCCAGGGAATGCCCTCAGGGTGGCGGCGGAGGAGGTGGAAGGCACGGCGGTGGTGGCGGCGGTGGCGGTGGCAGTTGCTACAAATGTGGCGAGCAAGGGCATTTTGCCCGAGAATGCCCCAGCTCTTAGATAAAGAAGGGTGTTGACGCGGCTCTACCTCTCTAATCTTTTTAGTATTTACTACTGTGTTAATTTTGTGAATTGATGAACCATATGAAATGTAGTTGTTTTGCGACTGTTATGGATTGGTATCTGTAGTGTTTTTTTTTTTCCAGGTTTCTCTCTCCTTCTGGGAAATGGTGGTTGCTTGAAATCTCTTTTCTTCTTTCTATGCTCTGCCAAGATTGTTTTATATTGATGGCATGATGGGTTTTTAGCTGGATCTTATGCATTACAGTTTTTAGCTGGATCTTCGCATGTATGTGCATGCATTTCTGCTATGAAAAGAATTAAGGTTTACTTGAATATGTTTCTCCTTGTTCCCTTTGATTATTTCTGAATCTGCGGAAGTAGAATTATTTGTGAACATTATTTGTGGATTTCATTTTGGTTAAAGATGATTTGCAGGTCAGTGGAAGTGCTGATTCACTGTTTGTGATCTAAAAATATGCAAATTTCACTTCATAGTTGTATATGGTGTAGGCATGAATTAAAGTGCACTTAGTCATTTATAAATGATCACTTGAATTAAAGTGCACTTCTGCATTTTTTCTTACACAAATAATTAGTGGTTCTGTAATTATTTTTACATGAGTGTTTTTTTGGTTATATGCACATGATGGATATTATTGGGATAAAGAGGTAAAATGTGTTTTTTTAATTTAAAATAAATAAAATAAAGCCAAAGGCATCTTCCCAACTATACTTTCCATAAAGAGCACTAGTTGAAGACCTATGATTCTTGCTAAGAAAATTCATTTTTGCCTTTTATTTATTTATTTTTTTGAGAAACATTTTTGCCTTCTTAAATTATTACACTTCGGTCATTGAACTATTAATTGAATAGTTTTTGATATGATGGCCTGTGTGATAGGTTTTTTTTTTTTTTTAAATTTTTTTTTTAAGAGTTAAAATCTAATGAGAAAGTAGAAGTCAAAGACATTCACTTCCTAATTTCAAAATAATCGGGTTTTTTTTTTCAGTTTATATAAGTTATTTCTGTCTAATAAAATATAAATTATAAGCAGAAATTGTACTAAACAATCTGGTAGAGATTTTCAAATTAAAATAAACTATAATTACCCTCTATAATCTATATCAAACAGCCCTAATACATTTGTTGAGACAGATTATTGATTGAGTATTAATTCAGTTTACTTTGGCGTCGTTTAGCAAGAGTTAAAGTGACTAAATAAGTACAAAAAAACAAAATAGACTAGTTTTATTAATAAGACAAAATGTCACATCTAAATTGTAATTATTTTATTTTTTTCTCTTACAACTATCATATTCAAACAAAAAAGAATCAAAAAAATTTTTCCAAACGAAACTAATTTATTAGTAAAAAAAATCAAGCTAAATTAGCTTTACCCAAACCAAAGCTCTATAGTAAAAAGAACTATTTAAAAATATTCAACAAAACACAAAATACAATCAATTCTAACAAACTATTACTTTTGGATACAACAAAATTAAGTAAAATCATAAATTAATTTTAAGAGTTTAATAGTTTTTCAAATTTATAATTAAGAACATACTATAAAAAATAAAAAAATAAAAAGTATATATTGGTAGCGGCATGCATTTATAAAGGAAATTAAAAAAAAAAATTCCAAATATTGTTTTATGGTTTAGTAATTTTAATTAATAATAATAATAAATAAATAAAAAAAAAGTAGCTGTATTTTCTCGTTTTCTTCCTCCTCCTCAGTGCCCAAGTGCCAACTCTCCCGGAGATGGTTTCGTCCTCCCAAATGTCTCCCTTTTCGGATCTCTCTCATCCTCCCCATTTCTTCATTCATCTTTTCAGGTAAAATTTGTATCATCTCTATCTCTCTCTCTCTCTCTCTTTCTTTTTACTTCTACATTTGATCCATTTCTAGGGTTTTGCTTTGATTCATCTCTCAATCAATCAAAACAATATGATAATAATATCATCTAATTCATCAAAAAATACTAGGGTTAGTGTTTGGTAGACTAGAAAATATATATATATAGTTTTTTCCCAAATCATGTTTAACAAATTAATCAAACGAGGACAACGAAAGGTTTCCAAAGCGGAACCAATTGAACCTCCCTCATCCAATTATCCACCTCCGAGTGTGATCGTCAACCATGCTTCACGCACCTCCGTTGGCCCGCCGTCCTCGGCCCCCAATTCTCAACCTCTATCTATGGTTGCTCCGCCCAATTCCGGCGTCGTTGAAGTGTTGCCTATGTTGAAAGACTCCCCCCCTCAAGACCGGCACGTTTTGTTCCTCCGAAAGCTTCAAATTTGTTGCTTTTCGTTTGATTTCTCCGACACGTTGAAGTCGGTGAGGGAGAAGGAGATTAAGAGGCAAACCATTTTGGAGCTGATTGATTTGGTCCAGTCAGGTACGTGTAAATTGAATGAAACTCTTCAGGAAGAGTTGATTCGGATGATTTCAGTTAATATTTTCCGGTGTTTACCACCAGCTTCTCATGAAAATAGTGGGACCGAAGCTGGTGATCCGGAGGAGGATGATGTGTATTTGGAGCCGTCTTGGATTCACTTGCAACTCATTTATGAGTTGCTTTTGAGGTATGTTGTGTCAAATGAAACCGACACTAAGGTTGCCAAGCGATACATTGACCACTCGTTTGTGTTGAAATTGCTTGATTTGTTTGATTCCGAGGATCCGCGAGAGCGGGAGTATTTGAAAACTATTCTGCACCGTATCTACGGGAAATTCATGGTTCATCGCCCGTTTATTAGGAAGGCTATAAATAATATCTTTTACCGTTTTATATTTGAAACCGAGAGGCATAGTGGGATTGGTGAGTTGTTGGAGATTCTTGGGAGTATAATTAATGGGTTTGCACTTCCGATGAAAGAGGAGCATAAGTTGTTTCTTGTTCGGGCGCTTATTCCACTTCACAAGCCTAAATCTATTTCTGTGTATCATCAACAACTGTTGTACTGCATCACCCAGTTTGTTGAAAAAGATTATAAGTTGGCAGATACAGTTATTAGGGGGTTATTGAAGTACTGGCCGGTTACTAATTGTGGGAAGGAGGTTCTCTTTCTTGGAGAATTAGAAGAAGTTTTGGAAGCAACACAGCCTCCAGAATTCCAGCGCTGTATGGTTCCTCTTTTCAGACAGATTGGACGCTGCCTCAACAGCTCTCATTTCCAGGTTTGAGAATCAATGTTTTATGTACTGGTATTTTATACTACTCCTAGGCATTCATGCAGGACATGGGATGAGTTATCGTTTCCATTCTTTTATCATTGAAGGATTATTTGATTCATATGGTTAAGGTATTTTTTTATTTTTTATGAATATAGTTCAAATTATTTATTCTAGCCAATAAACAGTTAGGTTGTTTGGTTTGCTGAAAGAATGAATGCAAGATAGTGCCTTAAAGAGGCTTCGTTTTATTTAAGAGTTCTCAAGGATTATAGTTGTTTTAATTTTCACTTCTTCTTTCGGAAACAACCAGTGTAATGATTTTCTCCCATTGATCTTTCTGCATGCAGATTGCTAGGTATGTGTAGATGAGGAAGCACTTTAGGTCATAGACCGTCTTCTACTTTGCTACCTGTTCATGTTGTTATGTGCTTTTTTGACGTGTTATATTTATTTATTATTTTATCTTCTTGATGAGTTGATACATTGCACTTTGCACATTTGTTTTCGTTTCTTATGGTTAACTTTGGTTTTATAGCTTACCTGTTTATGAAGTTCTGTATGTCTGATTGTGTTTGTTCTTTTCTGCTTTTTCTCCCCATTTTTGTAGTTCCATTTCTGCTTTCAATGTTAGAGTACAACTTTATGTTTTTCTCCTAGTTGTTATTGAAAGTAGATTTGAGAGGATTTAATTCATCAAGTTTCAGCTCTAACTTAAGTGCATGTCTGTGGTTAGAATCATATGAATCAGAATAAATATTAGTGAAATATATGTAGGGTCTCTTAGAATTAGGAAAAATCACTATTTCCATTTGCTGTCACCATGTTTAGAGGTGATTTTTACTCCTTTTGTGGATTTTTCTTGTTTCTCATACTGTGCATATGATTATTCTTAGCAAGTATCTTTTTTCTTTCCCCCCTTACTCTATTAATCTCTTTTGTCCCTGCGTTTTCTTCAAACTTTATCTACTAATTTGTGCTCTCATGTGATTAAGGCTTGTTTCCCTCTTTCATGCATTAGATGAATGTGTTATGATTTATGTTGTGTTAATATCTATGGTCAAAAGTTCTTTAGTGCCTAATATACCTTTGGTAGAGTCGTTAAACTACAGAAACATCAAGCACATGCATGCATGTTTATACTAAACTCTTGCTTATTATTTGTGGCCCAGTATGCATTGTCCAATTACAATTAACTGTTCACTTTTTTGCTGAATTCAAGAAAGCGTTAATCCCAATTCATTTTAGACCATAGTTCTCAAATCGGGATTCGAATCGTGAATTGAAATGGTCTCGTACCGAATTGCGAATCGAATCGCAAATCTTAAAGATTCGGTTACTTTTTCTAAATTATTTGAAAAAATATATTTACACACTTTGATGTTAAATATATCATATGAATATGAAATATTTAAATTTAAATTAATGAAAATGTTGTTTTGAATAATGATTATTTAGTTCAATAAGTAAGAAGTTAACAAAGGTTTCTATGTAAGATCACTATCTTACCTTTTCTCTTTTTTAGATATTTCTTGTGAACCATTCTTAAGAAAGACAGTAAACAAAGACAAACTCTCAATTTTCAAAATAACAATAATTTGATAATGATATTAATATTTGGACAATAAGCATATATTCTTTTTTCAAGTAACAATGACCAAATGATAAGAAAGTATTATTTAGGATTTTTTATTTTAAAGTCTAAAACATTTTAAAATGTATAATTGACCTCGCCCATGTAATATGCAACTATATTTAATTTAATAAAATAGTAATAAATAATTCATGGTGTAAGTTACTTTTATTTTAAATCTCTTTAGAAGATATATTATGATTATTTAATAGAAAAAAATAGGAATAAAGGTTAAAAGCATGTTGAGTTTGACTGAATCTGATTGGATCCTATTAAAAATTTCATGATCACTAAAATAACAACAAATTATGCACATATATTGGTTATTTTGGTACTAAATGCTATTAAAAGTTGTATTATGTCATTTTCAATAAAAAGAGAAATAAAAAGTAAAAAATATTTTGGACTCGATAGTTTTAAAAATTGCATGAATCGTAAAAAGTGAATTGAATTGTGAATCGATTATGAGTCGTGTGATTTACTAGAAATTCACTTCCAAAATAAACTCACCCATAGATTCCTATTGATTTTGCAAAAATTGTTAATCGAATTATGAATCGAATCGCAAATCATAAGATTCTGATAACAGAGTTCTAGACTTTTGAAAATAATTTATTTCTTAGTAGAAATGAATTAGTGCAATTGAGTATAGTAGTTTTTCTTTTTTCTACTTACTTCTTCTTTGTTGTAGTATGATCAAAAAATTCTTCAGGACACTTTTAGAATTCATTAAAGTTGGTGACAATTGTAGAACTTGTTCTGCTTTGTTTCTTTGCTGCCATTGTTTTCATTCTTCAGCTTCTGTATGTAACATCATAGCATCTTTCTCTACAGTTCAACCGCCGGCACCAGATTTCAGTCCTTTCTTTAGTTATTGAATATTTGGGTAGAACATTGAAAAGTCTGAACACCTTGGACAAGCTGTATTCAAATATTAACTTGTGACCCCTCTGACTTTATTTCATTGTTGACTACATAATGCAGCTTATAACAATAATTGACCTGTATTCATTGATGACTGCATTTCATTCTTAATAGAGAACAATTCTGCAAATATTGATCCCAAAAAAAAAAAAAAAAATCACAAATACATTTGACAAAAAGATTTCTCTTATGTATCTTATAAAGGGAAAGTAATTTTAAAACATGCTCAATTAATTTTTTTTTTTTTTTTTTTTTTTTTTTTGTGAATTCATTGGTTCATTCTTGACAAATGCCTTCTTCTGACTAATTCCAAGTTTTTTTAAATGATCTTGTACTTTCATATGGTAGAACGTTCTACCAAAAGAAAAAAAGAAAAGAAATTGTTTTATTCTTGATATGATCCATATGTGGTTCACTGTTCTTATTTTTTTTTTTAGTTTTGATATTGATAGAGTTCAATCTAGTCTCTCTTGTATTTCTTCTTCAACCAACAGCCCCTAAATTGTCCATTGCTTTTATTAGTTTTATGTCTTCTTTTGTAACAAAATCATGTATACTATTACAAATTAAAAGCCATTCAATGCCAACCAGATTTGCTTTGCAAGAGGAAGAAAAAGTAGGATGTGAACTGGAAAATTCATAGAAGATGGATTTTGGATGAGATATTTTTTATCAATGCACCAAAATCTAAATAAAATTCTACCACCGAGAAGAAGTCAGGCTTGTAAAGCCTTTTCTCATGAGCTTGTTATGCAATTCATAAGATGCTATATTTTGTAATCTAAAGCATAGTTGTCAAATCGGGATTCGTATCGTGAATCGAAATAATCTCATACCGAATCGTGAATTGAATCAAATCATGAATCGTAAAGATTCGGCCACTTTTTTCAAATTACTTAAAAACATATATCTACACATTTAGATGTTAAATATGTCTGATGAATATGAAATATTTAGATTTAAATCAATGAAAATGTTATTTTGAATGATAATCATGTAGTTTAATAGGTAAGAAGTTAACAAAGATTTCTATGTAAGATCACCATCTTACCTTTTTTCTTTTTAGATATTTCTTATCAACCATTCTTAATAAAGATAATAACCAAACAGATAAATTATCAATTTTCAAAGTAATTAAAAACGATATTGATATTTGGACAATAAACATACATATTTTTGTAAGTAACAGTGAGCAAATAATAAGAAAGAGTTATTTAGAATCTTTTATTTTAAAGCTTAAAGCATTTTAAAAGGTATAATTGACCTCACACATGCAATATTCAATTACATTTAATTTAATAAAATAGCAATAGATAAATTCATAGTGTAACTTTAATCTTAAACATCTTTAGAAGATATATTATGATTTTTTAAAAGGAAAAAAAATGAGAAGAAAGGTTAAAAATATGTTGGGTCTGACTGAATCTGATTGGATCCTATTAAAAACTCCATGATCACTAAAATAATAACAAATCATGCATATATGTTGGTTATTTTGGTATTAAACGCAATTAGAAGTTATATAATGTCATTTTCAGTAAAAAGATGGAGAAAAAAATAGTCGAAAATATGTCGGACACAATAATTTTCAAAAATTGCATGAATCGTAAAAAGTGAATCGAATCATAAATCGAATCGTAAATCGATTGTGAATCGTGTGATTTACTAGAAATTAACTTCCAAAATAGATGCATCCATAGATTCGTATCGATTTTGCAAAATTTGCTAATCGATCGTAAGATTTTGATAACAGAGTACTTGTTTAGATATGTTTTCAGTATGTTGCATTGACTCTTCTAAATTTGTGAGCTATTTGTGTCAGATACTCAACACTTGAGCAAGGGTATGGGATGTGTCCAACATGTCTAGTTGGACATGAACCAATTAAGCATGCCTAAGTTGTCGACTTTACCATACAAACTATTCATAGACTCTAATTATATGCATGAGATGGTCTATGTTTGTTTGTAAACACCATTTGACCCTCTAAAAATAAAGGAAGTGTCTAAGAAATAAGTAAAATTTAGTTGTGTCTTGGTTTCATTGATCACAAGAATTAGATGAATCTAACAATTGGACATGTACCTGCATTGGACACCTACACCCAAGTCCACCTAATGTAGCATAGTAATCAAATTATTTTAATCATCTTGCCCTTTGTAACATGTTTGGCCAAAGCCAACTGGAATTGAAAGCTATCCCATCTCCTTCTGAACTCTATATTTCCCCTTCCAACTTATTTCTAAACTGTGCTTGTTATTTGTTAATGAGATGGTTGTTTTGATGATGGTAATTCCATGGGACAAAAAAAATATTCTGATGCTGATATTGATGCCCAAACTTGCAAGTTTGCATTTGCATCAATGCCACCTATAGTATAGGCTATAAGAAAACACTTCAGAATTATGACCTCTTTTCTATTTTCTCCTGAGCCTGTTACTCGTTGAGGACTTTTTTAGTTGGCACAACATTGAGCCCATGTGATGAATACCAATGTACACTGAACACGCACGTTCTCTCTCTCTCATGTTGCTCACCAGTGCCTTGGATTCAATCTAATTAATCCACAAATTAGAGCAACATGACATTTGCTTGCCAACTTCATGTTGCTCTACTTTTGGTAGTAATTATTTTTTTTTGTGGTGAATATGATGCACTAGTTGAAAGAGAACAAGTGTCACTGACTTATTGGCAGTGGATGTTATTCTATGTTAGATGTTGATTAGGATAGGCTAGATGCAGTTGTCTAGTCAATTTTAACAAATCTACATGTGAAATTTTGGGGAGAGAAAAAATCAAGCAATTCCATGGCTTAGAATGAAATGTTGCCCCTTCAGTATTGCATCAAGTATTTCGTTTCTTTCCTTGAGATCTCATTTATCATATTGACATTGGGTTCAAGACTTGTAGATTAAATTGCATGTGAATTGAGCTCTTTTTGTTTATTTATTTCTCCCTTTTGGGTAAGTTCTGAATCAATTCAGATTGGCTCATTAGGTGATTGTTTTACTACATATTGTGATTAGGCATCATTTGTAGAGTTAGTTGTTTTTGCTTTTTTGTTTTTTTCCCCGGTGGTCAGATGTGTGAGATTTACCATAGTTATTTGCTGTCTGTGAGAGGAATTCTGGCCTGTAATCAGGCTTGTTTCTTCTGAATGCGCTTGGTTGTGTGAATTAGGTTCATAAGCTGGTCTAATGATGCTTATGAGCTTCTTTTATGGACAACTGAATCTAAACAAGTCTAGCTTGAATTGCTTGCTCGTGTGTCTTTGTTCCCATTATGGTACGGTTTTCATGTATTGTCTGTTTAATTTTCCTCCACGAGTGTTTTCTAATTCAAAAGGTGCACGACAGGTTGCAGAACGAGCACTCTTTTTGTGGAACAATGAACACGTAGTCTCCTTGATTGCCCAGAACCGACAAGTGATTTTGCCACTCATCTATGAAGCATTGGAGAAGAACATGAGGGGTCACTGGAACCAGGCGGTTCACGGTCTGACCGCCAACGTCCGAAGAATGTTCCTGGAAATGGATGCCGAGCTGTTTGAAGAATGCGACCAGCAACATGCCGAACTAATAATAATAATAAAATAAGAAGAGCACCGTGAATTGACATGGAAGAGACTCGAAGCAGTTGCTGCTCAATCTGGTGGGGATGATATGGTTATGGTTAGCTGAAACAAGTATCGGATTAAACCTAAGCCGCTTCGCGTCTCTCTCAATTTTAGCCGATGTCTACTCTTATCTGTTGAAACCCGTATCAAGGTTTAATCAAAAAATCAAGTTATATATATATATATATATAACTTTAGGAAAATTATAGCTGTGGGTCTTCTGCAAATGAAGAATTGCTTGTGAGGACTTTCTGCTTCAGCTGCTCATTTTTCACTCCCAGAAGGGAGAAGAAGGTACTGTTTTTGTTTGTTCAATAGATGAAGCTCAGCCCTTGATCCTTTATTTTGTATTTTTTTTTTCTTGTCGCGATAAAAATAATAGCAGTGATAACCTATTTTTTTGTTTCTGGCTGGACCGTCTTTTTTTTTTTGAAGAAGAACAGATTCAATAGGCGATGTAAAATATAAAATTATCATTTATTGCCCAATTGTATGCAGTAAGATCTGGCTTTCTTGAATTTTGCTGCAACTTGACAGATGATATGATTCGAGGCATTCGAAGGTATTTTCATTTTTATGGATTGTAAGATTGGTCCATTTGTTTTTTTATTTTTTATTTTTTTTAATGTAACAGACTTTTTTTGAAAATTTTGCTTCAGTTTTTGTTGATGTAATGAAATGATATTATTTTTTTAATTTACAGTACCTAAATTGCATGCGCCCAATTTCATTTTACACTACTTATCCCAAAATATAAACAATAATACAAAATTAAAAAAAATAAAATAAAATTGTTGCTGCTTCAAAACCAACCAGGCTATTTCCAAGCAGCTTGATTTTGGATAGTTTACAATTCAAAATTTTTCCTAAAACTTCAATTTTTATAGTTTAAATGAGTTTCTTTCATATTTTTTGAGGGGTAGAAGTGGGAATTTAGAACTAGTTTTTAGACCTTTTACATATTGGTACCACCATGCATTAAGGTTAGGCCTTATTTGGGGTGTACTAATAAGTACACACTTTTTATCTTTTTTTCATCACATCACCTCTCTATTTTTCTGTACATCTTTTCGTAAAAAGTCAAAAAATACACTTATTTAGATCATCTCAAACCACTCCTTAGTGTCTATATCTATATATGTATACTATGTGAACCCTTGAGATGGGAGGAGAGAACTTGAAATCGAGATCATTGAAGAAAATTTTTATTATTTAAACAACACATTATGTATATATTTTTGTCATTATTTTTATATTATTATTTTTTTCTTTTTGAGTCGCATAATGTGTGTGGACCGCTAATATAAAGATACAGAGAGCAATCACTTGGAGGAGCTAGTGTCATTGTTTTGCGTGAAGCAAAGCAGTGATTATTGTGTGGCTTGTGAAACTCATTTCGGGTCCTATTTTGATGATTCGAATCGTTGAAAATTTTAAAAATATCAAGAATAATATATTTATAAAAATTAAGTTGATTGGATATCAATAACATGCTCATCAAATAACATCTATATATAAAAAAAAATGAATATATCTATATATATCAAACTAAATACAAATATTATTTGATGAACAAGTTATTAATATCCGATCAACTTGATTTCTTACAAATATATAATTCTCAATATTTTTAAAATTTTCAACGATTTAAATCATCAAAATAAAATCCGAAATCAGTTTCATAGACTGCACAACAGTCACCACTGTGCTTCACGCACAGCAATAACACTGTATCCTCACTGGGCCGGTTTGGCCATTTTCTACGGACATGGAGACATCCCATGTTGTTAAGGGCATTATTGTGGAAAGCCCAAAAAAAGAAAAAAGAAAAAATAAAAAAATTAAGTGTTGAAGAGATAATAAATAAAGGTTCTGAAGTTGACGTAGGATCCGAAAGTACCACTTGAGCCGCCCATATCCCATCTTTGTTTCTCATCATCGTCTTATTAGAAACCTAAAGAGTCAATAAACTCCGCTAAATAAATCATCGCAATCAATCCACTTTTGATAATAATAATAATAATAATAAAATAATCAACAAATGAAGATATTACATTTAGATCCCATTATACTGACGTATATATTTTAATTTGGTATACAGACCTATCCAAAAAATAAATCATGTAGCTTGGCTAGCCCACATAATTTGATCAAAAGTCTTCTGATAACCCATCCAATTATATACAAAGTGGGACCTCCACAAACAATCAAATTGATAAATCTCTCATTTCCTTTCTTAAATATCAATTCCTTTGCTTTCCAAATTTCCTATAATAATCATAATAATTGTGATGATGATAACAATGGTAATGATAATAGAGTACCATAGTTGGTGGTAATGTATAAACTTAAAATAATAGAAAGAGACAAGAGGATGGTAGTGGTTGTAGATGAAGAAGGTGGTGGTGGCGCGCTGCTCCCAAATATCATCCCAAAAAAGTTCCCGCCATCGCCACTGCTGCTACCGGACCCCCCATCAGAACCGCTTCCGCCGGTGCTGGTACCAACGCCATTGACACCAGGGTATGAAATGCTCACACTGGTGTCCCTGATAGAGAATGGTAGTTACACCAACACAATAATGTCAATATAATAAAACAAACAAAACAAAACAAGGGTTTGAAATGTTAAGACATGGCATCATGGGGCCTAGATCATTCAATATTTACAAGTATCTTTTTTTTTTTTGTTGATAAATTTCACTTTCAATAGCACAATTAAATACACCAAGTCCCAAAGTGGTTGATGTGAATCTAAAAAGCAGTTGAGGGAATTTTTTCAGTTGAATTGTGTAAAATTAGACACAGTTATGTTAAGAATACAAAAAAATTTCACAGAACATGTAACACAGATGTGAAACAAAGGTGTGAGAGCTACCTTTTATCTCACATTTATGTCACATTCTGTGAAAATTCTCTGTGCAATTAAACTGTTTAACTAGGAAGAAAAAGCATCCCTCACATGATGGCACAGTTGGGAAAGAACCTCTCCATGTTGCCAACCCCATTCAGATCCAAGTAATCCAATAAGAAAATTGTGGGAACAATATACGGCCCCCACATGAAAGGAACATGCCAAATAGTTAGCTCAGCTCTTTATGGCAACTTTGCATCAAATTGTTACAATCACATTTATTATTATCACATTTCTATTATGATATGAACATAAAAACTAAATACATAATAGAACACAAAATACATTCGAATGGATAATATTTTATAAAATTTGCTGATAAGACTCATTTTTTAAAAATCTTATTTATTCATATACATTTTGTGTAGTGATTTTTGGGATGTGTGGTTCGTTTGACTCTTTTCAAACTCTCGTTAGGTATATTTTGCTGTTGTGTTGAATATGAATGTTTTTACCTTTGTTCAAAAAACTCTGAAGTGGTAACAGGTGGAAACTATTCCAAAATGCCTCAAAAGCTAAACTCCATTAAAATAAAAAGGACACAAGTAGAGGGGAGTTTTATTGTTTGAAACCAACCAATTTGGAATAAATTTCCTAATTTTTGAGAGGGTTACCATGGTGGGAGTCTTATAATAAACATAATGACATTTGCTAGATTCAATAACCTAATCGTAGAGGCCGTCATTTCGCGATGTTTCTTCCCAGCCATACTACAATAGCTTTGCCAACCTCTTCTAAAACTTACAAAAGTTTAGGCCTTGTTTGGAACTTGAAATTGGTAAAAGGAAAACAAAGAAAGTGAGAGGGGAAATTTTCTCCTTTGTGTTTTTCCTCCAAGTTTAAAAAGCTTTCCTTTAAAAACTTTTTATGAAATAATAATAATAATAATAATAATTCATACAAACAACAACGACAACAACAACAACGATCCCTAACAAGTCATGAGTTGGCGATGAAGAACCATATAATCTCCTATGTTTATTTTTTTTTCTACTTCTTCCAATGAACTTCAAGAGGCACACGATAATTAAAATTTGTCTTCTCCACTCTCCCTTAGAGCAACTCCAACTCTAATAGGCATTTTCCTTAACAAAAGTACATAAATAAATAAATAATAAATTCTACATTTTGTTTAACCGCTTTGCCTAATGTGTACTCTACCAACCCTCTTTGCTCTTAAAATTAGTTTGCCTAGCTTGCTCAAAAAACTCTGAAGTGGTAACAGGTGGAAACTATTCCAAAATGCCTCAAAAGCTAAACTCCATGAAAATAAAAAGGACACAAGTAGAGGGGAGTTTTATTGTTTGAAACCAACCAATTTGGAATAAATTTCCTAATTTTTGAGAGGGTTACCATGGTGGGAGTCTTATAATAAACATAATGACATTTGCTAGATTCAATAACCTAATCGTAGAGGCCTTCATTTCGCGATGTTTCTTCCCAGCCATACTACAATAGCTTTGCCAACCTCTTCTAAAACTTACAAAAGTTTAGGCCTTGTTTGGAACTTGAAATTGGTAAAAGGAAAACAAAGAAAGTGAGGGGAAATTTTCTCCTTTGTGTTTTTCCTCCAACTTTAAAAAGCTTTCCTTTAAAAACTTTTTATGAAATAATAATAATAATAATAATTCATACAAACAACAACGACAACAACAACAACGATCCCTAACAAGTCATGAGTTGGCGATGAAGAAACATATAATCTCCTATGTTTATTCTTTTTTCTACTTCTTCCAATGAACTTCAAGAGGCATACGATAATTAAAGTTTATCTTCTCCACTCTCCCTTAGAGCAACTCCGACTCTAATAGGCATTTTCCTTAACAAAAGTACATAAATAAATAAATAATAAATTCTACATTTTGTTTAACCACTTTGCCTAATGTGTACTCTACCAACCCTCTTTGCTCTTAAAATTAGTTTGACTATCCTCAAAAACTCTCCAAATATAACTAGTCAACAGAGAATAACGCCAAATGTTTATAGCATTGTCTATAATGTTGGAGTTCGATTCAATTCAATGAAAAGACCAAACAAAATGTCTAAAATGCCTCTCCCGATAAAACAATATACACTGAAGTAATTAGTTGGCGTGAAGTCCGAGACACCCTTGTGATCAAAATGTAAATACAGAGGAGATTCAGGAGGAAAACCAAAGATGAAAGAATTCCAAGGACTTGATTGCTATTTCTACAAGTCTGATGCAACATGGGGGCCAGGGCAGCAAATGCTGTCATGGAGAAGAACCTTTTTTTTCAGTACTGATACATTTCAGATGGGGCCCAAATCTAAAAAAATATTTTAAGTGGAGCCCACTAAAATTGGCTGGAAAGCAGTTAGTAGAGAATATAAATGAGTCAGCAATACTCAAATTCTCACAAGAAAACACCAACCAATAAATGACTTTGGTGGGGGGCAGGGTCCCTACATTATCCTCCCAGACACTAACCAATAAGTCAATGTCTGTATATATTAAAAGAAAACTTCATAAACTGTTTCCACACACATATTTGCTTCCCTGTTTTCTGCATTGCTTATGACTTATACAAGGCTTTGCCTCTCTTTTTGCAAAAGAGACACCCATCCCATCCCATTAGAGTACCATGTGAAGTGGGGAATTCTAAATTTTTAAATGCCCTTCAAGTCTGAAAAGTGGGTGACTCTATTTACAACACAAAAACATCTCTTTACACTTCCCATTTGTTTTGTTTTTTTTATTAATATTTTATTGCCACTTAAAATTGTAAAAAAGTATTCAAATTAAAAAAATTAAAAACCTCAAATTCTCATTACACTTGCATTCCAATCTAAAAAGCAGTTGAGGGAATTTTTTCAGTTGAATTGTGTAAAATTAGACACAGTTATGTTAAGAATACCCTTTCCACCTCTCAGTCGCCGATCTTTGTTCTAGATCTAAAAACCCTATTTCTTTCTCTCTTTAATTCTTGCATTGGTGGCTAGGGAGACAGGAAGAGGGGTTGCCGGTGGGGGAAGGGCGGTTGGAGAGTAGGTTAGGATTGTAAAAATTAGAGAATTTTTGGTATTATGTTGGGTGTAAGCAGGACGGAGCCAAAAGAGGAGGCTAAGGGGGTCGCGTGCCCTCCTCAGTTTTGAACCTTATATTATTATTTTTTATATGTAAAATGTATTCTTTTTTATTTTAACATGCTCTCTGGTTAAGGATTTTTTGTATTGATCACAACACATAGTTATTTGATATTTTGAGAATAGTTGTCTAAATCAATAATTTAGCAAGAAATCTTATAGATTAGATATAATTAACTCATCATTTTTAGATAATTAAGAGATAATGACAGACACACTAGTGTGAGTTGTGGTTTCCCATGTTGTGAGCATCACGTAGATAGTGCCATAAGGTACTTAAAGACTATTTAATAATATTTTTATTCAAAATACATCATTTATAAGCAATATCATCTCTCTAATATTTTTTTGTCAAATAAAAATTAAACAGATTTTATAATAATTTGTGTTGTAAATGATATGTTTTTATTTTCTAAAATTAAAAATTTTGATCCATAATTTTTTGTGCTATAATTGCAAACTAACATCACCATTCCGCATCGAACTATTTCGTATTATTATAAAATTTTGATTTATTGCTGTTAATAATGAATATTTAATTTTTTTGTGCTTACACCCTATTTTGCGCTTATAATTAATAAGAGTATCCTCTAACTTAATTTGCTGGCTCTGTCACTAAGTGTAAGGATATAAATTTAATAATTTGTAATTTTAAAAGGGTGTAATAAAAAATAGTGCAAATAGAATCACATCGGACAGGATAGTTGACCTAATGATTCATGTAACTATTCTTTGAGATGGTGAAAAGATTAGAAGTTTAGGGAGATTCGAGTTGATAGAAAAACCTGCCGTCTTTTGTTATAATCTAACTTATTAACCTTATAACTTCGTATCACGTGGCAGAAAAAAAAATCACATCAGAAAGTGCATGCCTTAAGATAATTGGTTTTTTAATTTTATTTTTAAAAACTATTGGTTACCGTTACTTCCAAGGAAAGATTTTGCTATGGTGCCCAAGTGGAAGATTTGAGGGACCGTGCCCTAATAAATTTCTATGGTGCCCAGGTAGGATATACTGTTAAACAGCTGTTGGCCAAGCACAACACACAATTGGATCCCCATGAGGAACAGTCTTCGAAGGGTCCAACACAAGGTGTTTTCAAATATGGCCATTACAATAGTTAAGATTGATTTGACATGTTTAAAAAAAGTTAAAAAATTAAAAAGTCACTATTTTATTTAAATTATATCATCTTATTTAAGTCACATTACCTTTCTAACACATCACTTTAAACTCAACCCAAACCCAATCTATATTTGAGGATTGTTTGAGATGTCCTAAATAAATATACTTTTTTACTATTTATAAAATATGAGTTGAGTTTGAAGTGATGTAGTAGAGAGGTGATGTGACTTAAATAGGATGATATGACTTGTATAGGGTAGTGACTTTTTAATTTTTTGACTTTTTTTAAAGATGCCAAACCAAGCCTTCATAAAAAGTTAAAAAGTACACTTACTTAAATCATCCTAAATAATAACATAAAATATTATATTTACTTTATAATTATTATATATATTTTTCATAATTATTAAATTAATTAAAAAATTAACTATTATTTTAAATATAATTTTTTTAACTAAATTAAAATAACAAAAAAATTTAATTAAAACAGACAATTGTAATGATAAAAAAATTTCAAGTTGCAAGTATTCCAGGGTCTAGAAAACTTTTTGCCTTCACTGTCTTCAAGCCTGTATGCCCCCATTGCCGGCGACCGAGATGATTCTATAAGGTCCCTCTCAATTTGGGCCAAGAGAAAATATCTTGTTTGATTCTTTCAAGTAAAACTCTTTTGTCATCAACAAAATAATCCTCTACAATGGAACTCCCTTTGCATTTCCTCAATACTGCCAGGTAATCCATTGCTTTGAGATTATTTTTTGAAGTCAAAGCTACTGAACGACATTGCAAAATCTTCAATTAAAGGGCTAGAAAAAGAAGTTTTTCCCATATTGAAATTCACCTTGACGACCTTGCAGTAGATATAAAATTTAAGCTCTTTTACTAATTGGGTCTCCAATTCTTCCTTAGACCGTGACTGACACGTGTCACTGACGCGGCAAACAGGTGGCACTGGCGTGGCAGACACGTGGCGCTGACTGTGCGCTGGCGTGGTCGTCTTCCTCCACTACTAGAAATATGACTTTTTGCGTCTATTTTTTTGCGACGGATTGTTTAGCAGTCCCAAAAAAACAACTTTTTACATTAAAATGTCATTTTATTTTAATGCTCAATCGTATTCTTACGTAACTTTAAACAAAAAAAAAAACTGTAAAAGCTGTTGGGGGACCCATAGCTACAGGCTAGAGATGCAGACAGTAGATTCTCAGTTCTTCTCCGCATGATCACGTGGCCCCATGCTCCATTATTATATATATATATATATACATATATTCACTTTTTCCATCCCATTTCTAAAATTAATTTTAATGAATAAATTATTACATACCACTACCTGATTAGTTCAAGAATTATCCATTACTTCTTCTGAATACTGCCCATAAAAAGATCACTTCACTTTACATCCTATTTTACCCTATAACAGCATCTCCAATGGTTAATTAAAATTTTTATTAAATTTAAATTAAAAAAATCAATATTTTCAATTTAATATGACTTACTCTAATCGTGTATTACAAGGGAAAGGTCAACCGGTTGGATAACGGCCGGTCGACCGATAAGAGCATTTTTTTTTTACCTGTTTGAACTTTTTTTGACTGGTTTAAACCCACTCTTTGAAAGGAAACCGGTCGACCGGTTGGTCAGCCGGCTGGTTGACCGGTTGACCTCCTCCAACGGTCACGCACAGTAATTTGCTAAAATCTATACCCTGTTATCAGTTTGATGATTTTTTTGTTGAATTCACATTTTGATACTAATTTGGTGAAACTGTTGGAGCACCAAAATGTGACTTTTTCACCAAAATTTAAATCTGATGCTAAGTTTGGTTCACCGTTAGAGATGGTCTAAGATTGTTTCATAAATGTTAAATTAGTATAATTTTTTATTTTTTATGAAAAAATATAAAATGTAAATTAAGATGGATGGAGAATTGATGAGATTCAAACAAAGAATGATAGATGTGATTCAAACAAAGAATAATATGATCCAAATAAAATAATGCGTTAAAATAACATAATTTATTTTAACACATGACAAATAAACTCTAAATGGATTTGTGTATTTTTTTAAAACACATTATTGTCTATTCTTTTCATAAAATAAAATAAAAAATTAAATCTCATTTTTTCAAAAATAATATACATATAGTGCTTTATAAAATAAATATTTTAAATTATTAAAATCAGATTCATGGTGAATCTCACAAGCCCATACAAACCCCCACGAGTTCGGATCCTCTTCAGCCAGTGTCTCTAACCTTTCCTCAGGGTGACAGCCCAGACTGGGCCACGTCAACCCAATCAAAATAGACGGCTCAGATCAACTTCAAAAAAAAAGAAACAGAAACAAATTTCATCTCCCCCCCAATCTTCCATGAATGCTCTGCTTTGGATCTTCTTCCCCTTCTCCATCTCTCTTTTCTAAATTTTACATTTGATACATACATACACATACACTACCTTCTTCCTTTTTCCAAACCCTTCAGCGACCCTCATGCACCACCGCGACCGCTAGCACCCGCCGGACTCCTCTCCCCCACCCCTACCCCTACCCCTACCCCTACCAACTTCGGCTTGAATTTAAGAATTTGAATGATTTATGTGACCTGAATTTTAAAAAAAAATGAAAAATCAAAGAAAAAATTTGTGGCTTGTATTTCAGAGAGAGAGAGTGGGTTTGCTTCAAATTTGTTTCTTGAATTTTAGAGAGAGAAAGTGAGTTTGCTTCAGATTTTAATGATTTTAACATTTGTGGCTTGATGATTTGTTGGATGTTCTTCTAAATCTCTGACACTTTGATAGTAAATTTGCAGATCCCATCAATGGCGATGGGCTCCCTGAGGTGGAAAAAAATTTGCAGAGAAGGAAATTTTGAGTTGGGTTTTCTTAACCAAATCTCATAGTTTGTAAACTCTGAGATTCTTTTCTTCTTTACGAAAGTGGAGATATGACACCTTATTGATAATATTCATTTTCTTGGCAAAAATATTGTTACTTGCTGCTACCCCACCGTGTATATTTTTTGTTTGTTACATGCAGATTTCAGATTTTCCTTTTATACTAGATATCTTATGGTAGCTACCTAGCCTTCCTTTCCAAACGTTCATAATTTTGGATTTTATTTTTTGTTTTCATTTTTTGTGCTTTCGGAAAAAAAAAATAGTGATGAGAGAAGGGAAGAAGATGCAAGCAGAGCACTCACGTAAGGTTGGGTAAGAGAGGGAGAGAGGAAATTTGTCTCTTTTTTTTCTTTTTTTTAAGTTGATCTGAGCCGTCTGGTCCGATCTAGGCCGTCATCCAAAGGAAAGGCCGGAGACACTGGCTGGAGAGGATCCGGACTCCCCCCAACATAGGTCATATTTTCTTCGGTGTAATTTTTCCTATTTTAATAATGGTCTTGTTTAGTTTGATTTTGGAAGATAAGTTTTCACAAAATATTTTGAAGAGAGTTTAGAAATTTTTGTAATTTGTTTGGTTGTATATTTTGAAAATAATTTTAAAATTTAGGATGATTTGATATTTTGTTATAATTGAGTAGATGTATGTGAGAGAAAAAATGATTAAAAATGACAGAACAAAGAGAAAAAGTGATTGATTGATATGTAAGAAAGAGAAAATAATTTTAAAAATTTTTTAAGAAAAATTACAAACCAAACAAAATTTTTTTGAAAATCTTTTTCCTCACAACCATACCAAATAAGGCCAACATGCTTGGTGACCCATTTCCCAATGTAAAAAAACAAAAACAAAAACAAAAGCTCGAGATTGCAGAGGGGGTAATTCATCAGTAATTTGTTAAAAGGGATAATTTATTTAAAAAAACAAAAAAATAAAAACAAAACAAAATGAGTGTGGTGATATTACACTGAAATGACAAGTTGTTTAAAGGGGGCAGGTATTTTTCCGTTATGAGTAAAAAATGAGAGAGAGAGAAAACCTGGGATCACCGAAAACGCCGGAGTTGGAGGTGAGTTGGGTGATGAGGGCGGCGGACTTGGGCTCGACGCTGGAGGCTTTGGCGTACTGTGCGGTGAGGCCTTGTCCAGAGGGAACGAAGAATGCTCCATTTACCATTATGTCCCCGTCTGTCCTCCAGTTCCAATCCGTCCAATCTTTCTCGTTTGTATCCACGCGCTTCGTCACCTGTTTTGTGTTGTGTATTTTTGTCCCCACAACACCACAAAAAACAAAAACATCAATATCACCCATCACAACACAATCAATCAACAACAACAACAAAACACAGACATATAGCGTCAAGCGCCACAAAGCGCGTCATTAACTCTATGACTATGACTAGTGCAGTACCAAGCTTTTGAATATCGTTCCATCATTTAAATAAATAAATAAAAAAAAAACAATGGCCTTTTTTGGTTTATTTTTAAAAAAAAATTGAGAAAAAATCTCTACAAATAAATTTTTAAGAGTAATTAAATTAAACAAATTTTTTTAAAAAAAATTCAAAACTATGTTAGGTAACCTACTTTTCAAAATCACGCTCTCTCTCATACACATCAAATCAAATATTTTTTTTACAAATCTCTTTTCAAAATAATTTTTTAAAACTATTTCTAAAAAAGATAAACCTAACAAATTTTTATATTTTTTATTTAAAAAATTACTCTACAAACACAAATCAAACCAACCCAATTTATCTGGCATGGCAGGCACTGTCTAGTGTCCATCACAGCTTGGTCGCATGTGCAACTGAATCCATGTGCAACAACAGAATCATACTTCTTTTCAATAATTTCTTTTGACAAAATTACCAACAATCAACAAACACAATCTTTAGAGTTCGAGTCTTGAAACGAAATAAAATTTTAATTTTATTAATTTAAACGCTAAGATTAAAGTTGCATCTTGAAAAGTAGACGCCGGTAAAATAAAATAAAATAAAATTATTTTAACATTTTATGATTTATATAGTTTTGAGAAAAAAATAAAATAATTATAATTTATATATAACATTTTATTTTATTAATTTTTTAACATATTTAGCCTTTCAATGTATCAAATTAGGCCCAATTCACAACCCAAACCAAGCAATCATTTGTCTATTTTCATTTTGTAAAGTTCATAAAAAAAAATATTTTAGTTGTTCAACTTAACTAAAAGAGATAATCTAGAAGCTATACCTATAGTTTAATGCCTATCATATTATTTTTTTTCGTCAATTTTACCTAACAAAAATAAATTTATAATTTAATTGAAAATAAATCAAAATATTTGAATTTAAATTAATAAAATTAAACGGTCCAGATTTATTTTGTTATAAAAAGAAAACAGAGCTTCTTTTTTTTTTTCTAATTATCCTTTCTTTTAAATGTTTTTATTTTATTTTCAAATTAAATAAACTATTCAAAATCATTCATTTTAAATAAATGCCACGCCGAAAACAAATGCCAAATTAAGAAAATATATTATGGCTACGTTTGGCATGGGTTAATTTAGCTATTTTAGTTACAAAAAAACAAAACACTCTTCCAAAAAGCCAATTAAAAGCCAAAAACCAACTCTTAACTCATTTTAAGTCATATCAATTCCCATTTTTTACGTCAAAAAAAAAAAAAAAACTAAAAATTAACTTTTAATCATCTTTTAAAAACACTAAAAAATTAATAAGATAAAATGTCACATCCAAACCATAATCCTTTTATTTTTTCTCTAACAAAAGTAAAAAAAATCAAAAAAACTCATCTTAAACGAGACTTTATCTTCAGGCTAAAATAACTAAAAAATCAAAAAGCCAACTCACATCTTAAACGAAAGCCATATCAGTGGAACTAGGAATGTGAATTCACAATTCTACAAAAATATATCGGAGACCATAATTTGAGTGAAGGGAAAGGACTTGTTAATGACAATATTTAAACTTTGTACCTTTTAATAAGATATTAATAGTATTGGCCAACCAAACTAGCTGCAATTATTTTTAAGCTGCATTTTGCATTTCAAAAATAAATTTCTTCTACAATATATTTATTTATATATACCCACTACCACTTTATGTAATTCATTACCATATGTAATAATAAAAAAAAGATAGGACAAATTATCAACACTCTTCGAGATTTGACTAAAATACGAATTCTCCTTAGATTTGAGAAATTACATCCCACCTCTTGAAGTTCATATTTTCATAACAAATTATCCCCTCATTTGTTATGCAATATAACCTTTAAGAGATAATTCGTAATTTCTCAAACCTCAGAAAATAATCTGTATTTTAGCCAAATCTCTAATAATTGGCCCAAAAAAGTAAAAAGTGAAAGGGGCAATGCATGCCAAAAGGCAACACCATTTGAGTCCAACTTGGACAATAGGGGATATTATCACTCAATTTTCCCCCCATAAATTAATGGTTTTAATTTCATTAGATAAGGACATCGAGTGTGTTTGGTTTGGTTTTGAAAAATAAATTTTCAAAAAAAAAAAATTTGAGAGTATAGAATTTTTTTAATTTGTTTAATTGTATATTTTGAAATATGAGAATTTGAAATGATTTGATATTTTGTTATAGTTGAATATATGCATTTGAAAGAAAAAGTAAATGAGAGAATAGAGAAGAGAGAGAAAAAGTGATTGATTAATGTGTAAGAAAAAAAAAATGATTTAAATTTTTTTTTTTCCAAAATCACTAAACTAAACAAAATTTTAAAATTTTTTCTCTAAAACTATTCTCTCAAAAACAAACTAAGGCCATCACATTAATGTTGAGTAACCGACCGCACAACTATTCATGCCATTCTTTATACCGTATTGACCCAAATCAATTTCTAGCTATATTTTATGTTCGTGAATTTTTTTTATTTTTGAAAAAAAAGTAGAACACATTAATTTAGAACAATGCTCAAACAAAAATAATTTACTTGTTGTATTCCAACAATTCAAGACAGCCTCGGCCAAAACCAAGACAAATCAAACTACACAGAGTTAAGTTTAGACATACCCTCCTCAGTTTGATCAGACTCACCCAAGTTACAACCTAGTTAAACCTTAGCAAGTAATATTAAACTTGTGTTTTCTATTTATTTATTTTCAATTTCTTAAAATTTGCACCAAACAGTCCATATCTAGGTGGTGCCCACCAGAGGTTTTCCAGAATCAGGCTGCGCGTGTACCTCACGCGCCACCGCAGTAAGTAGGACAACGTTATCCCACCACATGACATGTGTCAAAAAGTTCACGAGTCGCACAGAATTTGATTTGGACATGAGAATAGTTTCTCGAGTAATTGTTAAGGCACTTTATTAATATTTGAGCAATGATGCGAGTGTAAGTATGTGAGTTTTAAAAAGAGCTCAAGGAAAAAAAAAAGAAAAAGAAAAATACACAGGTACACCTATCATCACATGTGACAAATAGATATCTCATGATCCAAGCCTCCGTTTGAGAAGTGGTTAGATTTTTGACTTTCTAATTTTTTTTTTTATTATTTTAATTTTTTTGTGAGAAAAAATATAATAATTATAAGGGTTATTTGAAATGATCTAAATAAGTCTACTTTTTATCTTTTTTACGAAAAAATATGAAGAAAAATAAAGAGATAAAAAATGTGTACATATTTAAGATAGTCAAACTTGACCTAAGTTGAGTGTGAAATTTTATCTTAATGGACTAAATTTTTTATTTTTTTTTATTTTTTATAACTATTTTAACCAAAATAGCCTTCAAACCATCTTCCTAAATGGAAGCTAAATGTTAAGGCACTTTACTTTTCTTTATATTTTTACTAAGGGCTAGTTTGGCATGTATTAAATAAGTCAAAAAGTTAAAAAGTCACTATCTTATTTAAGTCACATCGTCTCTCTAACACATCACATCAAACCCAACCCAAACCCACCAATAAGTCAAAAAGTACACTTTTTTAGGACATCCCAAACCAACCCTAAATGTTTCCCATCATATATTAGATCTGCATGAGATTCATATGATTGATGTAAATCTCACAATCATATCAAACATTTAATAAAAATATTAATAAAATATTTAAAATACCTAATATTTTTTTTTCTTTTACCAACAAACTAACTATAAGGCTTCATTTGTCGTAATTTAAAAAAATTAAAAAGTCACTATCATATTTAAGTTTTATCATCTTATTTAAGTAACGTTACCTCTCTACTACATTACTTCAAACTCAATTCATACCCAACCCATATTTCATAAAAAGTTAAAAAATGTACTTATTTAAAACATCCCAAACTACTCGTAAATAAAAGATAAATTACAACAATAATGATTCAGAACATTAATTTTGACGCTTTAATGAAACACTAATAACATGACAAAAACAAAAAATAAAAACTAAATAAACCAAAACTAAAATATCACATCACAATAAGTGAAATCCACTAATGAGCTGGCTTTAAAGTTCAACAATTAGAACTTTAAAAACATTTTTCTAAATTACAATTTGCCTCTTTATGTTTAGTTATTCTCTCACTTCACCTGTCAAATTGTTTTTTAAAAGTAACTTTTTTTAAAAATTATTTTAAAAATTAAACTAATTTATACAATTTTTTAATACACATTTTTTCATAAAAAATCAAAAAATTAACTCAAACAACCATATTTTTTCTTCAACTTTTTAGTTCAAAAATTCAAAAAATACACTTATTTAGGACATCCCAAACAACCCCTAACTTCTATTTAATAATCGAATAACATAAAAATATTGTATTACATGTAATCATGCATCAAACACCGGATATCCCAACTTTTAATCCACTTCTCTCTAAAAAAAAAAATTAAAAAATTAAATTTTAACCATCATCCCAAAACACCTCACAAAACGCAAACTCAAATTTTTAATATAACAATAATATATTTGTATATCATTAACAACTACAACCTTGCTAAATACTCCCAGTGAGGTGGTGCGCCCCCACTGGCTGACAACCAAAAAATAAAAAAAATAATTTTTTTTCACCCAATCACGGACCTCCATCTCACTGGGAGTCGACCCCATTGGGGTATAAAGCATTTTTGTAACAACTAACCTATTTTGTAAAGGAAAATGTTTGGTAGCTCAAATTATTGTGGCTCAAATGGCTCAAATCTGTCAAAACGACGTCGTTTTACACTCAAAATCTGTCAAAACGACATCGTTTTGACAGATTTGAGCCACAAAAATTTAAGCTACCTAGCATTGTCGTTTTGTAAAATGCTAGGCACGCAACCAAATGTTTTATGAACATTTCTACCAAATACTAACATCCGTTGGGAAGTGGTTTTGTAAGACTTTTTTAACTATATTAATAACAAAAGGCAAAATATGCTATTTTAATCCTAACAAACAAAACATCACATTCAACTCATAATCATTACACTCTTCTCTCACAAAAAAAAGTCAAAAATTCTTCCCAAACCAAACTTTTTAACCCAAATTAAAATAGTAAAAAAAAACTAAAAAACCAACCCACTTTCCAAACCAATCACTATATCTCACATACCCACACCATACCACGTGGATCTCGTGTGATCCTACACTAATTTGAGTTAATATTTAATAAAAATGTTGAGAAAATATTTAAAATTCATAAGATTACTCTCTCTCTTTCTTTTTTTTTGTGTAATTTTAAATAGAAATTAGTATTTGGAGTAAATAAAAATAAGAAAATGGCACAATATAATTCACCGGTAAATAAAATAATTTTAAAAAACAAAAAGAAGAGAAAATTTACCTCCTTGGCGTCGGGATCCACCGGCGCGGTATAGCGATTACCCTGACTATTGATAGTAGGGTTAGCGCTACCGCCGATAGCATACATCTTCCATTCCGTGAAATCATTATTAACCACGTGTATATACCCGCGTCTACACCGAGGCATACGCTGCACCAGCCCTACACCAAAGTGATTAAAAGCTATGGTCACCTGCATCCCGGAATCAGGCAAGTACTTATCATCATGCCCTAACAGCATCACTTCATTATGATGTGCAAAATAGCTGTTCGATATCGTGATCCCCGTGGACCCCATGATCGCATCAATCAAACCGTCCGTACAATAAGACAGAGAGCAATGATCAATCCACAGATCATGAGAATTGAAGATGGAGATACCATCACCGTCCGATATTCCTCTATGCCCAACATGGGTTGGGGTGGAGCGTATCATAGTGTTTCCCGAGGGAACACAGTGGCTGACGTGGATGTTGTGGATGATGACGTTGCTGATGTATTGAAGCGTAATGCAGCCGCCGCCGGTGATCTGGATATTCGCGCCGCGACCGTCGATGGTTTTGAAGCTGTTCACGATGAGCTCGTGCTTGAGCTTGATGAGCATGTTGCCAGAGAAGATGATCCAGAGGGGTTCGGATTGGATCACGCCGTAGCGGAGTGTGCCCGGAGTTGGGTTTGCTGGGTCCGGAAGAGTCGGTGACGACGTAGAACTGGCCGCCTTTGCCGCCGAGGGCTGCGTGGCCGAATCCGATGGCGCAGTCGGCGAGTCGTTGGCGGTTGTTGGCCCAGTTTGGGTCGCACCGCCAGCAATCGTCGATTGGGTTTCCGGTGAGGCACGAGAGCTGGTCTTTGGAGCCGCCATTGTTGGTGGTGGTGGTGGATAGCATTTGCCTTCTGGATATTGATACATTGAGTCTCCTGTTTAGAAAAATGTAGAGTGAGCCCAGATTAGAAAATGGTACAATGAGCAAAACCGAGATGAAGAATTTTATAAATTTTTGTTGGGAACGATGTAATAGTAGCAGATGTGTGAAGAACTTAGAAGAACAGAGTGAATGGGATTATAGAAACCCTAAAATGAGAGAAAAAACAGAGGGCCAGATTTGAAAATGCTGCAATGAGGAAAACCCTCTTTGGGATTTTGTCTGAAAACAGAGGAAAGTCCTAAATGTAGCAATGAGTAAAACCCAGATGAATTTTGTAAATTTTTGTTGGAAACAATGTAAAAGGAGATTTGTGAAGAACTTAGAACAGTGGCCCAGATTATAAAAGCCCTAAAATGAGATAAACATAAAGGGCCAGATTTGAAAGTGCTGCAATGAGCAAAACTCAGATTGGGATTGTATGAAAACAGAGGGGGCAAGTGCTAAATGTAATAATGAGCAAAACCGGGATGAAGATTTTTACAATTATTGTGGCAAACAATGTAATAGCAGATGTGTGAAGAACTTAGAAAATCCAGATTTTAAAAAATAATAATAATAAAAAATTAAATGAGAGAAAAACAGATGCACAGTTTTGAAAATGCTGCAATGAGAAAAACCTAGATTGGGATTTTGTCTGAAAACAGGGGGGCCAAGTGCTAAATGTAAGAATGAGCAAAACCCAGATTAAGATTTTTACAATTTTTGTGGCAAACAATGTAAAAGCATATAGTTCCAACTCATAATGGAGATGAAATGGACAAGGGATTTTTTCTGAAAACAGAGAAGCAAGTCCTAAATGTAATAGTAACCAGCAAAACCCACATGAAGATTTTTATAATTTTTGTTCCGACTCCAAATAGAGCTGAAATGGACAAAAACCCAGATGGGGTTTTCTGTTGATCTAGCTAAATGTACTGTGAAAACAAGGAGACCCAGATGAGGGAATGCTATACTGCCCAAAACCCAGATGTGCATTTGTGTGATAATGTGTGGAATGTTGAGAGGGTATGATGTTTACCTCTGGACTTCTTGAACCACAGCTTCAGGGTTGGGGTGTTGGTGGGGGAGGGTGAGATTGAAGGTGGCTCTAATGAGAGGAGAAAGAGAAGTTAAGAGGCAGAACAAGATAATGCAGGTGTTAGGAGGCATCCTTGGAGGAGCAATAATGGCGTATGGTATATGTTTTGCTGTTGTTTGCTTCTATAACAGAGAAGAACTCAACAGATGTGCCTTCCTGTTGAACGTTCACATAGGAAGCTGCCAATTTGGGGAGATGTGTGATGTTCTTTATATAATAATAATAAGATTGCATATAATAATTGCACTAAATAATTAAACCTCAAATGTTACTTTCAATGGTAGGGTTGTAGAAGGTTTTCATTGTTTATTTCAGCATGGTCCATGGTCCATGGAGAGGTGAGCCATAGGAGAAGAAGAACAGGTGAGAGAGAGAGAGAGAAGATGGGGAAGGTTTTCTCTCTACTTCTCCCTTGCAACCCTCGTTAGAAATTCACATTCCTACCTTGCTAGCTAATCATTCTTTGGGATAAGAGGGAAAAACTCATTTTAGAAAGGTTAGAAAATAAAGGAAAACTTGTAGCCAGAAAAGAAAGTTCTAGAGAGAATGAAGAAGTCTGATCTCCCGCTGTGATTCTTGTCCGAAATCGTAAGTTCTTCAACATTCTATTTAATTTTAGACAAACTTTACGCTACCTTTTGTAATTTTGGTTTTATCTTTTAATATTTGAAAATAATCAAATAATTTGTGCATTAAAATGCACAATTAACTCTTCTATGAAAAATAACAGTGAGTGAAAGTAACACTCTTTAAAAAGTGGGTCAATTTTTATGACAAAAATAGCCTTTGTATCCTTTTAAATTTATAAAAAATGCCATACTTTTTCTAACTCTATCTCTCATCACTTTTTTTTTTCACGATTAGTTTGAAGATAAATTATTTTAATAATTTTTTAATTTGTATAAAAATATATGCAAAAAAAATGACTTTTTCACTAAAATTAAAATTAAAAGTTGATAAACAAAGCCAAATAGCAACTCCAATCTTTCTTGTTTTCTTCGCCTCCTCTCTGTTCTTTTTTTTCATTTTCCAACTACCCCCTTGACAAAGCTGTATTACAGAAGTTTTGCAAACATCAATTCCCCTTTTGAAAGAGCACAAAATTGTTTGGTGAAGGAAAAAATGGTGTGTCCAACTGGATGAGAAAGTGAAGATGCTTGCTTAATAGTATAGAAGGGTAACAGCATCTCTAATCACATCCTCTTCGCAAGAGATTGAAAATAATATTTTTTATTCAAAAAGTAAATATAGAGGAAGTCGCTATTCATTCAAACTCTAACCACAAACTTTCATTTATTTCATTCAAACTCCAATCAAAAAGTAATTTTTGTTCATTAATAAATATTTAATTTTAAAATTTTTGTAAAATATATTTAATATTATACTCATTTTAAAGGTATGATTTCATACTTTTGTATTGATGTCAATTTTATAAAAATTAAATTTACACATTAAAGGTTATTTCGAATATAATAAGAAATATAGAGTAAATAGTATTTCAGAGTCTCCTTCATTTTGTTCATCCTCCCTTCATATTTGAAGGATCAATCCATCTTCCTTCATTTGGGAGGAAGAAATGAAGCATGGGTTGGAGCTCAAAATTAAGAAGAATCCTACATATTTGAAGTTTTGAAGGATGAGTTGGAGATGCTCTATTGTTTTTTTCAATTAGATCTGTGATATGTGACGAGGTAGCAAGTTACAAAATCATTTACTGTTGTATTGTGATGGGAGGATCTTGGATATCAATATCTTCTTTGTTCATAATTTAGTAATGATGCCAAACCACTTTCAGTTTCTTCATGGACTGGAGCATTTGTTTTATTTTTAGTATAGAAATGGAAGAAGCAGATTAAGGCCAAGTTTGGGAAGATCTAAAAAAGTCAAAAAGTCAAAAAGTTACTCAAAAAGTTATAAAGTTAATACTATTCACCAAAGGTCAACAATTACGGCTGCACAACTCCCAATTCAAATGTCTCTCCTTAAATCAATTTTTACAATTACTTTTTTTTCTTTTTTCCCATACAAAAATATGACATATACACAGCGTAATCATAAACGGTTGTTTTCCTCCTTTGTCACTCACCATCTCCTTTTCAGAATTTTTTTAAGTGGGTTTAGGATTAGTTTGGAAATAAATTATTTTAATAATTTTTTAATTTGTATAAAAATATATGCAAAAAAAAATGACTTTTTCACTAAAATTAAAATTAAAAGTTGATAAACAAAGCCAAATAGCAACTCCAATCTTTCTTGTTTTCTTCGCCTCCTCTCTGTTCTTTTTTTTCATTTTCCAACTACCCCCTTGACAAAGCTGTATTACAGAAGTTTTGCAAACATCAATTTCCCTTTTGAAAGAGCACAAAATTGTTTGGTGAAGGAAAAAATGGTGTGTCCAACTGGATGAGAAAGTGAAGATGCTTGCTTAATAGTATAGAAGGGTAACAGGATCTCTAACCACATCCTCTTCTCAAGAGAATGAAAATAATATTTTTTATTCAAAAAATAAATATAGAGGAAGTCGCTATTCATTCAAACTCTAACCACAAACCTTCATTTCTTTCATTCAAACTCCAATCAAAAAGTAATTTTTGTTCATTAATAAATATTTAATTTTAAAATTTTTGTAAAATATATTTAATATTATACTCATTTTAAAGGTATGATTTCATACTTTTTATTGATGTCAATTTTATAAAAATTAAATTTACACATTAAAGGTTATTTTGAATATAATAAGAAATATAGAGTGAATAGTATTTTAGAGTCTCCTTCATTTTGTTCATCCTCCCTTCATATTTGAAGGATCAATCCATCTTCCTTCATTTGGGAGCAAGAAATGAAGCATGGGTTGGAGCTCAAAATTAGGAAGGATCCTACATATTTGAAGTTTTGAAGGATGAGTTGGAGATGCTCTAATGTTTTTTTCAATTAGATCTGTGATATGTGACGAGGTAGCAAGTTACAAAATCATTTACTGTTGTATTGTGATGGGAGGATCTTGGATATCAATATCTTCTTTGTTCATAATTTAGTAATGATGCCAAACCACTTTCAGTTTCTTCATGGACTGGAGCATTTGTTTTATTTTTAGTATAGAAATGGAAGAAGCAGATTAAGTTCCAGTTTTATACTAACTGTATGCAAAATAAAGAGACAAGCAAACCAGAGTTTGAATTTTTAAATTAAAAATAAATAAATAAATGCCTCATTTGTTCGGATTTTCAACGTAATTAAAACTTTTTTCCCTTCACTAGAGTTGCTAAATGCTCTTAATTTGCAATTTGAGTTTATTACTTTCGTTTCTATTTCTCCTTTTTCTCTTTTGTACTGCTTATGTCTCTGTTTTGTACTCCAAGCATGCTGAAGCTTGTGTTTTTTTTTATCAAATTCTTTGTATTCATTTCTCAAATTTTCCAACCAAAGTAAATTATTTTTGCCCATAAAAAATAAAACAACCAATTTAGCTTTCGTTTGGCATGCCAAATAACCAAATAAAACCACATCACGTATGAAATGCTGGGCAATTTTAGCCGTCAAAACAGTAAACCTTGTGAGGGGAAGAAGAAAGCAAATATATGCAGGTTTACTTCAAAAGAGAAGAGATGGAGAAGATGATGGGCATAAAGGTCAATTTATATATTCTGTTAATAGAAGTTATGGTACATTTTAATTTACAAACAACGCGAGATTATGTGATTATTTATAAATATTAAAGAATAATCTGCATATAGCTCAAACCACAATGGGTTATGTGAAACTTGCCCTTTAATTTTATAATTTAATAGTGTGATAGTAAATTAAAATGTATAAAATAAATTTTTTTCCATGTCTTCTTTAATTGTCTTTTAAAAAGTGGGCTTTAAATTATTTTTTTTGGCTGCGAGAATATTTGCTGGAAAGAAGCAAAGATTGGTGTTTACATAGTAATCGTTCTCATAATCCCTTTTTAGTGTGTAGATTATATATAAACCTTTTTCACTTTTCAAGTTGGAGAGATAAAAAGGCAGGAAGACAATGACGACTATGTTGAAAATGGTTGATAGGGTTCACAAGGCTCAACTGAATTCTAAAGATTTTTACAGGGAGTTAATCCAATTGTGCCACAGAATATTTTTAAATTTATGAAAAAAAATTATAACTTTAATTATTAAAATTGTTAAAGTTTATCACTAATTTTTTTTTGGGGGGGGAGGGGGGCCTCTTATGAACTTCTTTCATTTCCCTTTCCTTTTTCCTTTCCCTTTCATCCTCATGTGATCTTCCTCCTCCTCTCCTCTCTGCTCTGCTCTGCTCTGCTTCCTTTTTCTTTCACCATCATTAGAGCATCTCCAACCCAATCCTCTCACTAAGAGGATGATAATAATTTTTTTTATTCAAAAAATAAATATAGAGTATGTTACAATTCATTTAAACTCCAATCACAAACCTTTATTTTTTTCTCTATATTTCTCTCCATTTATTTTCCTTACCATCTATTAGCTTATAGAAAATTAATTCGGATTGTATAGGAGCTAATAAATTTTGTAACATTAATAATATTTAATTTTTTAATTTTTGTTAAATATATTTAATATTAAACTCGTTTTAAATATATAATTTTAATATTTTTAATGATATCAAATTTATAAAATTTAGATGTACATATTAAATTTTATTTGTATTTTATAACATATAATAAAAGACACAAAATGATATAATTGGTATATAAATTTAAAAGCAAAAGAGCTTAAGGACAAAATTGGTATTTAAAAAATATGAATAGTGTTATAGAAATCATTCTTCATTTTTCATACTCTATTTATATTTGAAAGATGAAACATCCATCGTTCCAAATGAAAAAGGATATAGAGGATGAATTGGAGTTGAAAATAGAAAGAAGATGCCTCAAATTTGAAAAAATAGAATATGTTGGAGATGCTCTTAAGCACCACCATCATATACCCTCCACCGACTTCAAAACCCAAAACCTCTATCTAAAATAAAAATCCTTGGAGCAACAACCGAGCTTCTGGGCTCGTAAGGGAAAGGCTAGATAGGGCTTTGGGCAATGGTGCTTGGGTGAATGGGTTTCCTGTTTCAAGAGTATTTCATTTGGTGGGGGCAAGTTCCGATCATGCTCCCATTTTGGTTGATGTTTTGGGTTAGCAAGCTCGGCAATGGTTCCAAGGGGGCCGGTCTCGCATCTATCGGTTCGAAGCTATGTGGCTTTGGGATAGTCAGTGTGAAGCTAATGTTTCGGCATGGTGGAGCCGTTCTAGGGGGGATACGGTGGAAGCCTTGCGATCTTCCATTGATGGGTTGGGCTCAAGGCTTATGAGCTAGAGTAAATCAACCTTTGGTGTAATTCCCAATCTAATTCGGCATAAGGAAAAATCATTACAGAGGCTAGATAATTTATCTCACATGGATGCTTCGGAGGTATTGGAGCATGCAGTGCTACGTCGCAATATTAATGAGCTCCTTGAGAGGGAGGAAGTTTTTTGGTTCTAACGAGCTCGTGCAAATTGGATCAAGGATGGTGACCGCAATACTTCATTTTTCCATGCAAAAGCATCTCAGCGGCAGTCTAAGAAGAGGATTGATGGGATGGAAAACTCAAATGGGGTTTGGTGTTCGGAGCCCGCACAGGTGGAACAAATTGTGGTGGATTACTTTGAACACTTGTTTACGGTGTCCCAGCCTCGGGAGATGGCCACTGTTTTAAACTCTCTTTATAATCGGGTGTTATTGGCCCAAAATGAAGTTCTTTCCCAAATGTTTACAGCGGCGGAGGTTACTATGACCCTCAATCAAATGCATCCGACTAAAGCTCCAGGCCCCGATGGTAAACCGGCTCTATTTTTCCAGCGTTTTTGGGATGTTGTCGACTCTCAAGTTACTCGTACAGTTCTTGCCATTCTGAATGGGTCTCAATCGGTAGGTGGTTTCAATTACACCTTTATTGTTCTTATTCCGAAGGTTAAGAGTCCTAAGAATATGACGGAATTTAGGCCTATCAGTCTGTGTAATGTGGTGTATAAAATTGTGAGTAAAGTTTTGGCGAATCGATTAAAGAGGTTATTACCATTGCTCATCTCTCCAACTCAAAGTGCTTTTGTGGGCGGTCGTCTAATCACGGATAATGTATTGACTGCCTTTGAGATATTCCATCATATGAAGAATAAACGGCAAGGTAATAGGGGGCATTTTGCATTGAAACTGGATATGAGTAAGGCTTACGATTGTATTGAGTGGGATTTCTTAGCACGGACTCTGCAAACTATGGGGTTTGCTCCACATTTTCGGACATTGATTATGGACTGTGTGCAGACGGTGTCTTTTTCGGTTCTTTTGAATGGGAAGTCTACCAGATCTTTTCGACCAAGTAGGGGATTGCGGCAAGGGTGCCCGTTGTCACCATATTTATTTGTGCTTTGTGCAGAGGGACTGTCATCTCTCATTCAACAGGCTGAATTGAATGGGGCTCTTAATGGAATTTCGGTCTGTCGTGGTAGCCCGGTGGTCTCTCATTTGTTTTTTGCTAATGACAGCCCGCTTTTTGGCTCGGCCTCTCATGCCGATGCGAATGTGGTGAAGTCGATTCTTCAGGTTTATGAACAGGCATCGGGCCAGAAAATTAATCTCATCAAATCGACGATTACATTTAGTTCAAATGTTTCGGCCGAATTGAGGTATAAAATTCACGACATTTTGGAGGTTGGCATTCTGGCCACATCTTGTAAGTATTTGGGGTTGCCTTTTCTAGTGGGCAGATCTAAAAGAGATATGTTCAATTTTGTGAAAGACAGGGTTTGGCAGCG